CATGCAGGTCTTTATATATATATATATATGTATAAAAAATATATTCAAAAATGTTACCGGTACCAAGTGCTCATCAAGCCGATCCCGGCAGTGGGGCCAGTTGACAACGGATGAAGTCTCACTTGGACGATGATCCACATCACGGAGCCCAGAGTCAGCCCGGTGTTCCTGGCGAGGATCCGCTCTGCCAAGGAAATATCATGGGGAAAAGGAGTTTGTGTGCAGGAAAGAGGCTCCATTTTGGGTAAAAAGTAAGTCCTTCTTATATCACAGAGACATAAAGGGGCGTAGGACACCACCACGCCAAACAGCCAATAGATGTTGCTAATTTCTATTTTTCACCTGGCACAGCCAATAACTGGTGACGTTTTCTATTCTCTCAGACCAATTTTTGTTTTATCAGACTGTTTTTCTGTTCTGTGAGTTAGAACAGCCAATGGCAGTTACCAATGCTTACTTTCTCAGGATGTTTTCCCCCTTTTCCAGACTTTTTTTTTCACCTTTCCAGATGATAAGTTGCTGTTACAGTTCCTTGTTTTTGCTCTTATCAATGGTATCTCGGGATGGCTCTGCTTTCTCGGTATCCAGCTGCACTTCAAAGATGCCAGCTGCACTCCTCAAGGATGCTTCTGGTTCCCAGGCCTGGTTCCCAGGCTGGCAGGCATTTCTCTGTCAGTATTTGAGGAGAGGTCTTCAGTTCAATATTTTCCCCCTTATAACCAGATTGCCTTTATGGCTGCTCCCATCATCAGCCTAAAATGATACCTCTCAGCAAAGCAGAAATGATCAGCTGCAGGGAACACTGCAGAATTTCCCTGTCCAAATAGTCCTGTCTGTGAAAGTATCTTTTGTATAGCTACTATTAGGTGTTCAGGAACAGATCAAAAGCAACTGCATTAGCTTAGCATCTCTTCCTGCAATACCTATGTGGGCTAGACACAACCTATGGCATACCATCACACTTCTGCTCAGGAGACCGTGCTATAAGCAAGAACTTCAAAGCTACAGCCTTGTTCGGGCTTCCTCCTGTTGACCATACTGGCCAGCCTCCACCTACAACCCTGCATTTTCACAGCCTGACTGTGGATAGCATCAGCTTATGAGAAAAAGTTCAGAGGAGAACATGGGTCATGCAGAAATAGAGAACAGAGACTGAGGACAAAGTCAACCCAGACACGCAGGCAGGGTCACCGCTCCCAGCCTGCAAACGCCTGCCAAAACAGCTAGAGGAAAACCTGAAGCTGGAGCAGGCTGAGTTTTAGTTTGCTGCAGTGTTTGAACATGAAGCTGTACTTGTCATTGTGGTACAGACTGACTGAGAACCAACAGAGTGATTACAAACAAACAAAACATCCAGTCTGTCTAGCCCGCACTCCAGTTACAAGCTTCCAAAACAGACCATTTCCCTGAGACAGTGACCTCCAAAACTCAGATCTGGAAACAAACTTCCTCTGGGTGTTTTACATTCCTTTGGTCCTGTTCCCTAAATGCAATGTTTGTGTCGCTTGCTAAAAAAATCCACAGCAACAGGCTTTCCAAGTAAATTTAAAGGGAAGTGATTCAATTATTTTTTCTGGGATTAAGTCTTAAATACATTTTCACAGAATAGGCTATGGAAACTGTAATATGACCTGTCAAATATTGGTTAATAAAACAATGTTGATACTGTGACATACAAATAATACTTTTAAGGACAAAAATTTTAACTTTGCTGGTTTTAATTCAGTGCTAGGTTTATTAAGATTTTGCAAGAATTTTAAGTCCAAGTAAAGCACTGTACTTATGCAGTTACATCGATTAAGTGCCCAGGCTGGCTTCTCTTGACACAGCACTCCTCGTGCTAGACAGAGATACCCACAACCTCGGAGAGACAGAGTGAACTTTACATACAAATATCAAAAGCTACATAAAAATTCCGTAATGGTTCCAGCTTGTGCTGGTCTCTCACACAGTCCCTGCTATGCTGCTCAGAAATAGCAAGCCAGCCTTCTTTCTGCTGCAAGCACTGACAACGCTTGATCACAGTCTTATTTCACTATGAGAAGTGTGATATCCTTTCATTCTCTTATAAACCATACTCCAGAGTGGATTAAGGATCACAATTTCATATAAATGCCTACTTGCCAGATAGTATAAATCATGTGATAACCCAGTAATTAAAATATAGCCTTATGCCTCTACCCCAGACTCAATCAGATCAGAGAATGAACCGCGAGACTTTCAGATTCATATATTATGATGCAAATGAGTTTTGTAAATTGTGACCTAGTTCCCATGTTAGGAACAGTTGGGACCAACAGCAGGAACTATGGGATGAATGTGAGCAGCAGGGGCAAGCAAGGAAATTAACATTTGTTCTTAATTTCAAATGGATTTTTAATCACTTTCAGGTGTCTCAAAGAAAGTGCACACACTTGTTTACTATAATCACTCTGACAGAAGAATGCATATAGGAGGTAACATGTTTTTGTTTTACTAATTGAAATGTTTGCGACATTGGTGTCAAAAGAAGCACCAGAATACAGCTCTTTCTGGATGATTTACTGAGTGCACAATGAAGGACTGCGAAATGAAGTTTGCCAATTGATCTGCTCCACAGAATTTGTTTTGTGAAGAAAATGAGTTGCACATACCCTCTAAAAGTGACTGGATATTAGATCACATCCATCTCTCCAAATTCAGTTGCTATTTTTTCAGCTAGAGGCCAATAAACCAGCTCTCCGAAGAGCCTGCTCAGGGATTTAGCTGCATGGATGTCAGCCACCCACTTAACGCGATTCAGCATAGTTAGTGGAAAATATACTGAACTCTCAAAATTCTGCTTGCACTCTAACAGTGAGCCTACAACAACATACAGTGCTGAACTCCAGCCTGAGGCAGCTTTCTGGTAAACTCTACTGCATCAGCAAGGGTGTAACTTGTTGAAAACCAGACAGATTTTCATCCTAAGCATATCTAGAGTTGGTATCATCATTGGAATCTATTAGCTGTAAAAGAGCTAGGGCGTCAACTCTCCTGAAAAACAGAGTCTCAGCTCCCTCTGGTGGAAAAAGTAATTTTCTGCAAAACAGTTTAAGTGAGAAAGTCTTGTTTCTGCTACAGGCCTCAAGGCCATAAGATAATTAAGATGAGACAGTAAACAAATTCCAAATCCTCTGTTCACTTCGAAGGACTGGAACTTCTTAGAAGTTGATGTGAAATATCATGACTCACACACTGTTGCAGAGGGTGGCTGCACAAGATACAACACACTCATCAAGTTCCAGCTGTGAAAGGTGGCCAAGAGAGCCTGTATTTTCCCTGGATGGAGTTCTCCAGATGTAAGTTATGATACATAAGACTATTGAAGCAAATGGTATCCCCAAGGAAAACAAAATACACACACACACTGAGTAAGCTCCAATATTCTCTCCACAATAACCAACTCCTAAGCCCCATAAGCAGCCCTGTCAGCAAGGGGAGTGGAAGCACACTTCCAGGGCATGTGGAGTGTGAAAGGGTAAAGTCATCACGCCCAACACGCCCAGACAGTGAGGAAGTCTTTCAGTTGTATGTTTCTGAAGTCTGACTGCTAACAGAGCACAATGTCACAAATACAAAGAAGCATAAGGCAAAGCCCTCAGATCCAAGCCTGCGTCCCTTGGTCTTAAACACTCTGTATAGATTAATCCAACAATCCAACCACAATCAACAAAAACTCTCCTTTTGAACTTCAGCATAATCCCAATCTCCTATTTTGAAAGGCTTAGTGAAGAGTCCAGTATAATGCCAAAAACCTCTTCTCACTAGACACAGCTATTCCTAGTCTACAGGTAAGTGTATTAACAAAGGGACCCAGCTTTCTGTGTGCTTTGCATCAGCACAGGAACAGCAACAGTCTAGAACTGCATCACCATTCGTCTTTGCCTTCTCAATAGCAATGAAAATTCAAGCTGATTTCCACCACACATACACTAGATATATTTAAGGTTATTCCATCCTTTCTAATCAAAACCAATCATACAAGGTATTTCTACTTCTCCTTATTCATCGTGAGGAGTGGAAAATAATTCCTGGAAGTATTCCAGCTATTGTCACAAAAAGTAAATAAAGTATATTTTTGTTTCTCATTAGCGGAATCAACAGCTCCACTGTAATTAAGCACACAACTAGTTGCTCTGACAAATTCTTTGTAGCTCCTGTAAACAGAATCATGAGTAATTTCTGCAGTCACAAACACACTAGAATGACTTTTTATAATACTGGGGTTCTGAAAACAGTATTTCACACTGCCACATAGGGAAGACTTACAGATCCAATGAAAGGAAAACAGTAACAAAAAAGTATTTATTAAACAACACATTATTCAATTTCACAGTGTGGGATTAAGACCCATATTTGCTCCTTGGAAACAGCAGAGCTGAGTAATCCTGTGAGAGTGGGGGAGCAGGTCAGGTCTGCAGGTGAAGTTTATTAAGAACAGTAAAATACCGTTTCCACAGCCAGAAGGAATCTGAGGGTGGGGAAAAGAAACAAAAGCAACAACAGCCAACCACATACCCTCGGAGTGTTTCGTGCAGTATTTTTCAGCAGAGAAAAGCTATTAAGGCTAAAAACTGGGCATGAAGTTTTGGTTTTATACATTCAAATATTAAAAAAACAACTACAGCATGTACAACTTGATCTCTGTGTGTGCGATTAAAAATAATTTAGTTAGTAACAGATTTTTCTCCAAAAGAGCAGTTTTCTACTAGCTGAAGTGTCTATGTATTTAACCGGAAGTCTCACAATGATTGCACCTCCATCAGCTTTGCTTATTGACCAGAAAAGTGGCCTGCTTTCAATCTTCTGCACGAATACCAAGTCTGCATATGTAGCTCTCCCAAGCCGCCTTCCTGTACTTCTCTGCTTCTTGAAGACGGTCTGAAGCTGACAAGATGCCACGTCCCACAATAATGATATCTGAACCTTTTTCGTTAATAACTTCCTGGGGGCTTAGGTACTTCTGTCCAAGGTTATCACCTGAAATAGAGACACCATTTTTTTTAGTTCATACAAAACTGTATCTACCAAAAAGCTTCAAAGAGAACAGAGAACAGATATGCTGTTCCAGCTCTCACCCTAACAATCCACAAACATAACTACAAACTGTGCCTCCAACTAATGAACCCCCTATTACACAGATCGAATTTGACAGAGAGCGCCCTCCTTTTTCATGATTTACCAATCACAATAGACAGAACAGTTACACAAAGAAGCACTAATCAGGATTGCCGAAATAAGCCTTAGCCTTCTTAAAACAGGCAAAACCCCCAAACAGTCACATAAAAGCTTGTGACTTCACTTCAGGTTCATAAGAATTAAGTATTGCAGAGAAACACATCTCCCCTACCTGGTTCAGCGATAACCTGTTTAGTCAGTGTAAGACTTCCAATTAATTGATACTGCATCAGTACACAGACTTCTGTATTTGTTAAAAATCTTTTCTACTCCTACTGAGTAGTTGTACATCTAACCTAACAACTCTCTGAAGAGATTTCATATGTTTTAAGGTATGCACAGACCTCAGCACACGAACAAAGCTGTGTAGCCTGCTGATTGCCTTTCAGAGATCCCAGGAAAGGGATCAGTGTACCGAGAAATACAGAAGGCAGCCCATAATGGCAAACATAGACTCCTCCCACGAGAGAATCAGCAACCAAACCCTCTTCAGAAGTCACTTTTTCACTGAAGGCTAGATCACTTACTGTATTTACAAACAGACTATAAATATTTCAGAAGAAGTTACCTCCAGTTTGCAGCTGCACCCCTGGAGTTAAGTGAAGAAATTCTGGTTTATTACTAACTCTAGATCCAGATATGAATCCAAAAACAAAATCCGAGTTGTCTTCAGCCATCTGTACCTGAAGAAGATCAGGAAACAGTTACAAGCGATATACCTAAAATTAAGCTTGACTAGTAATCTCTTTCTCATCCACCCTTTGACACATTAAGCTGTGCAAGGCAGGGGTATGAAACACCTGTTCTTGCTTTACCAATACAAAGTCACCCAGAGCTGACTCACCCCTCACTGATCTTGCTGCACTTGCAGCCAGGAACATGAATGTTATGTTTCTTTCTATGTTATAAATAATAAAACGAAGTAATTTAAACTAATTAGAAAGTTACTGCTTAAGGAAAAAAAAAAAGGGGGGGGGCTAACAGCAAACTTGGCATGTTTACTAGAATTCACAGTGTGAACTCCAACCACCTCACACGACTAGCCTAGAGCTGCAACCTTTAAACACCACACTGTCAGATTCCTGAGTCTCCACAGGAAAAAAACATGTAATAGTTAGTGCTGGAGAGACTTTTGAAGTGCAAATATGAGAAGCACAAAAAACCTCCCTGTGACAACACTTTACAAGCTTTTAACTCAAAACAAGACTGCCTACTTACTGCAGCTTTTGTGTATTCACCCGTTGCAAGTGACCCTTGGGAACTCATCTCAGCAATCAGAAGACAGCCACGCTGGAGAGGAAGACCTACTTCCTTCAGACCTTTCACAACTCCAGAGCCTGGAACCACATGGGCATTAACGATGTCTGACCAGGATGAGATTCTGAACACACCACCTGCGAACACGGATCAGAAGACATAGGCAAAGCGTCATTAGAAATGTATTAAATGGGAAACACGAGTTAAATAAAACAAGCTGGACGCTAAATGACTCTCATTTTAAAAGACAGTTTTACTACTGAAGCTTGACAGTTACAAGTTCAGGCTTATCAGACAGTTCTGATAGGTGCCTAACCACAAAGTGTAATCTCTCAGTTTTACTTTTCACAAACACTTCTTAGTATCTCACCTTTAATATTCACTGAGACATTCATAGTAACCTAGAAGTCCACTGTCACAGGTGCTACCTTTCAATACAGCATGCAGATCATATGGGACATATGGATCAGAAAAAAACGTTTCTACAGTTGCAAAAGCAATATCGAATGAAAGCCGTAACAAGCACATAAGCATACAACAGCAGGCTGCTTTAAAAAGCCACGCTGCATTTTCTCACAGCAAACAACTACTCAGAAGTACTTACTGAGCACAACCATAGATTCATAAAAAGATTAAGGTTGGAAGGGACCTCTGGAGGTCATGCCCTCTCAGCAGGGTTAACTTCAAAGCTAGATCAGGTTGCTTAGGGCCTTGTCCCCTTGAGTCTTCTCCAAGGCTGGAGATTCCACAATCTCTCCTGGCAACCTGTGCCAGTGCTGCAGTTATGCTCACCAGCAGCAAAGCTACAGTAAATTGAGGTTCATGATAATCACCTTCGTATTGATGTTTCACTGTGTTTCCAATGTCTGCAAATTTCCTGTCTTCAAAAATCAAGAATTCATACCGATTTGCGAGTGTTCTCAACTCCTTTACTACCTCTTGGGTGAAATCATTCAGGATGTCTATATGAGTCTTCAGGATACAAATGCTGGGGCCCAGGATGGCAGCTAACTGCAGCAGCTCTTTGGAGCTGGTGACATCAGCAGAAAGGCACAAGTTTGTTTGCTTCTTTTCCATGAGCACGAGAAGCCTGGCTGCAATAGGATGTACCCCCGGCAGCTCGGCACGAGTGCTGAAGCTCAGCTCTTTACATAGTCTCTTCACGGGAGCAGGAGCGTTCTGAGACACTGGCTCAAACATGTTTCCCTGAATGAATTTCTTCACCTTTTCAGCCATCTCAACTGCCACTTCTCCCTGCTGCTGGAGAATCTCCAACACCCCGGACAACGTGCACACAGAGTGCAGGTGAATTCCATGTTCCTCTAACCTGGCCTTCCCGCCCTGCTCCCTGTCCAACAGCACTATGGCATCCGTGACTTTTAATCCTTCTTTCTGAAGAACTTCTGCAGTTTCCAGTACGCTAGATCCACTTGTTACCACATCTTCAATGATCAAGCATGTTTCTCCTGGATTAATGGTGCCTTCTACTAGCCGCTTAGTACCTTAAAAATAAAAGGCAAACACTCCACTAAATGAAGAAAGTTTAAAAGACCTCCAAAAAACTTAATGCATCAAAACTTTAACTTGCTATGTTAATGTAAAGATCATATTTGTTCCACATAAAAGCACACACTGCAGCATATCCTGAAGTCCAATGCAATTGGGCTTCAAGAGAATAGGAACTTTACATTCACTGTCAGTATGGAGAGGTAATTTCTTCAGTTATTACCTGACACCAGTTATCACAGTTCTTACCATAGCTCAGTCCCTGACTTGTAATTCAACTCATAAAGACTGTTATCTCTCCAAGTTAATAAAGTACTTCTTTATGTTTCCAGAAGTTATGTTCCATTAACAATACTGACATATTGTTAACTGCACAAATTTAAATCTTTGGATGACTACAGAAGTTTATTATTGCCATGAATCAAATACTCAGAATTACAAAACTATTTTCTCCAGTTATTTAAGAAATCTTTAGAGCAGCCAAGTTATTGGTACTCTTCAGCATATTTCCTATTTTCCACAGGCAGTATTCTGTGCTTAACATTCCTGTGAGAACAATTAGAAGGAGTAGAGCCTCAAATGCCTTTGCCCTAACAACAACAGGCACACGTCCATGAAAGGCCTCCCGAGGGGCAACAACAAAGGATGCCTAGCTTTCCCAGGAAGCAGCGAGCCGCAGGAGAACATTATGCAGTGAGTGCGGTGCTTAGACCATGACAGCCTAGAGAACAAGCGTACGTACAGCTTTGCAATCCATGTGACATCAGAAACCTTGTGCCAGGCAGTTAATTGCTGTCACAATTGACTTGTCCTTCACAGAAAGGAACATCAAACATTTTCATGCCTGGCACATTGACTAAGATAGGGCTAACATTTAGTTTTGACAAGCACACTTTCTAATTAAATACTGTTGGAAGGGTATAGCTCTTATCACATGTAGAAATCCAGTTGCTGTGGTAGGTTAACGCTTCAGTCTTCTCTCCTGCTTCCTTTATCAAAATCAAATAAATGGTTCATTGGGTAGAGAACTGCTTCTCACCTGGTCCACCCTGCCCACTGATTACAGGACTACAGGATATGAAAGAAAAAGAGGTAAATGAATAAGAGACTAGAAAGGTTCCTCTTGTATTCAATATGCAAAAAGCTCTGTTTGGGGTGAAATGTGGCACTGCTCTCAGCACATCAGAGAAACTAAGTTATGGTTCCTGGAAGAGGCCGGTAACGCAGAACCGTGCTAATGGTGCCAAGGAGAAAAAAAACACTGCCGAAGGAAAGAAACAAACAAATTCCCCCCCCATCCCCCCAAACAAAAACAAAAAACCCCCCTTAAGAGTCTCCAAACCTACTACAGCAGGATTCAAGCTGCAGCCTAATCAGCAACCAGCTGGGAGAGCCTAATCAGGTTGGGATGCTGTGGGAGGTACGTTCTAGGGGGAAAAGGGGCTGCCTTTTGGAGTGGTAACCTTAAACTGGAATGGAGATGCTGCACGTTACAAAAGAACCACAAACATCTAAAGCCATTTCCCAAACAAGACAACAAGTAGACACAAATTCTTGATTTGAAGGCTTTACCATAGTCTTTTGCTTCCTTCCTCCGTATAAGCATTGGGATCTGATATTCTGAGCAGATGATCGTGGCCAGCGGCAGTGCCGTGTAAGGAACGCCGCACACGCAGTCATACTCGAGACCAGCATCTTTGGCTGTTTGAAAGAGAAGATCTGCAACCTGAAAAGGAAAACCAAACCTTTTTTAAGAGTCAGACGGTGTGAACGTGACTAGACAAACCTATTACCACGGGAAGCAATGCCAATGCACGAAGAACTCTCTCCTGTGCATGACCGGACAGCGAGCAGACAGCCCGACGTCCATACCCAGCAGAGCACGACCCCGGCCCCAGGAAGGGCTCTCCGGAGAGGCCCCGGCAGCGCTGCCGTGCCCCCT